GGAAACTGCAGTTCCGCCTTCGGCCACATGGGTCGCTACCGGTCTCAGAGGGGGCGCTGTTTCCTCAGGAGAGGAAACATCAAAATACCAGACTCAGTTTCCCAGAGTTCATAGCTTTTGTTCTGCAGTCTGCCTCTGAACTGAAGCTTTTAGATGCAGTCTGGTGTTTATTAGTGAGGATGAGGAGCAGGTCATGAAGAGTAAATGATGAAGAGCAGCGTTGCTTCTGAATCAACGACGAAGAGCTGAAAGATCTGCGGCTCTAGCACAAAATGCTTTCTAGTTTTATTTTCCTCAGAAATATATTTTTTAATTGTGTCTGACTCTCTGAGGGTGTACTTACTTATTTACTTACTTACTTACTTACTATAATTAACTCAGTGCTGACTGGAGCAAACAAGCTACAAACACATGAATGAATTCCCAAACAAAACAAAACGCTGCAACCATGGGAATCAGAAACAAAATGCAAAATTCTGCTGAAAGTAAAAACTGCAGCAAAAAAAAATAACTGCAACCTGGTTCCACCAACGGAGTCCCCAGACCACTAGGGGGAGTCACACAGGACCTCATCCTGTCACTGGATGAATGTTGGAGGAGGAAAGAAACAGGCGCGCTATACTTCATGTTATTACAACAGCAGCATATCCACATAGGCAATATTACTGACTGCAGACTCCGCCTGGTGGTCTGGATGACCTCTGCTCTGTGAATTTGACGTGTTTTATGCTTCCTGTCTTTTGCTATTTATGGCATTTTCCCTTTGCATCAATTTAATGAATTTGCAAACTATTTATTTTCTGTGTATTGGTTGCAAAGTTTACACCAGCTCTGTTCAATCTGCGTTGATCCGACTCCCGTCCATTTGTCTACAAACTGTGGTTGGTTCTCAGAATGTTAATCCGTTATTTACCTCTGACCTCTGGTCCTCCTGACTTTGGTCTGGATTCAGTTGAAGTGAACTCTGCTTCGGTTTGAATGTGAACGCCAAGCGAACTGGAGACCGCTCCAAAGCAGGAAATGGACTACAGCACAGGGCATTCTGGGTAAATACAACCAAAGCTAATATGCTAGCCTAGGGTTAGCAGCAGAAATGGCTCCTGGTCTTCAGCCAAAGACTAAAGAGAAATCCTCCAGCACTAAACTCTGACGCCTCCATCTTGTTTCATCTGGTGAAACAGGAAGTTGCTCTCAGAGTCTTCAGAGGTTTTAGTGTCGTTTCCTGCAGTGGTTGTTGGTGCAGCGCCCCCACAGGCCAGGAGGGGAACAGAAATGTGCATGTCGTTGGCAGCCTGCGGCCACCGTACTTCCTCCTGGGCCAACAGGAAAAGCAGCACAGTGTGTTTCTGACGTACCATTTAAAGTGTTTTCTTCCAGCCTGTAGGGGGCGCCACAGCAGACCTTGTGTCTCCATCTGTGTGTGGACATGTTGAGCATTTCCTGTTATAAAATCTTCCTAACAGAATCTCCCTGAGCGGTCAGAGGGTGTGAAACGTTGTGCAGGGCAGATCCGGTGGTTTCTGCAGCTCCTGCTCATGTGAGGCACAGGAACAGGAAGGGCTGTTCCGGCCGGAGCGGCACAGGAAACCCGGAGCCCCAGGAGATCAACGCCAACGTGGCAGGAAGCTGCTGATCCGTCTGAGCCCAAAGGATCTGCTCCAAACTTCCACATGTCTCCTGATGCTGGATTGTAACTCTCATCGTGTTCCTGCTGCTTCCTAACGTTGGGAATGTTTTCCACTGAGTCGCCAATAAAAGCCAGGCTGTGTGCAACAGAGCTCAGTTGTGTGTCGTTAATAAGCAGCTCTCTGGATGGCAGACTGGGAAGACAGGAAATGACGTCAGAGGTCCGATGCAGCGCCTCAAATACGCTGATGTGTTTGAGGCTGCACGTCCAGGAGGGGGCGCTGTTTGACCCTCTCTAGGACAAGTGTGAATGGAGTTTCATTGAACTCGGTTTCCCAGAGTTCATCTGTGCAGGAAGCCTTTTGTAAAATGATACAGGAAGAATTAAAGGCAATAATTTGCTTTGTTCAGCCAAAAAGGTATTTTTCAATCATATTATTATATTCGCCATATTATACAGATATTCATAAATCCAAACAAGAGGTTTCATTCACAAGCTAAATATTTAGCTTCCCAAGTATATATTTAGTTAGCAAGCCAACTAAATATTTAATTTGAAAGCTAAATATTTTGCTTGTAAAATAATATTTAGCTTCCTAACAAAATATTTAATCTTTGAATTAAATGTTTATTTTGAAACACATTTATGAACGTAGAAACATTTTAGTGAAAATGAACACTGACATATTTCCTTATGACTAAATAAAACCAAATTATTGCTTTCATTTTACAATCGGCTCCTGCGTCTGACCTGGTGATCAATCGATTGATTAGAGCCCAGAGGTTCTGATCGGTTCAGGAGCCAACCGGATCTGGTCAGAACCGATCAGAACCAAGAACTCTTCCCAGAGCTGAATTATTATTGCCAAATTATTCTACAAAATAATGATATGGATATTCATGTTAATCAATAGAAAGACTCATTTCAATACTCAGTCATTCTGTAAACAGTCAAAATAATCCGATTAATATTCATTAGTCTTCAGAAACTCATCTTAATATTTAAATGACTCTGCAGAGGAAGCTGAGCAGCAGGACGGACAGGAGGTTCGGCTGCAGCTGACTGGATCAGAACAGCAGGTCCCGATTGTCCTGCTGCAGGGGGCGGGGCCTGCAGCTGTCTCACCTGGACAGGTGAGCCTGCAGCAGCAGCAGATCGTCTCTTCCAGCCTGGATTTATTTCTGGAAGTTTCATCTCAGCGTCCAGAGGGAAAAACATTCCACAGAGTTCTGGGTCTGCTGGTTCCGATCCTGCTCTCTGGTTTTCAGACACGTTTCAGTTTCAGCCCTGAACGATTCATCTGGCTTTAAGGTTTTATTTCACTAAAATGTTTTATTTTGAAGATTCTGTTTGTCACGTGACCCCCAGCTGCGGCCCGCCTCTTCCCTATAAAAGTCCCGCTTATTGCCGCCCTCACTCACGCGTCCGACCGTCTGTGAAGGCAACCGCAGAGACACAGTGAGCGGCGTCGCCCGCAAACTGAGCGTTTCTGCGTGGCGGCCTGCGGGAGGAAGAGGAGGAGAGGAGGAAGAGGAGGTAAGCGGAAACCTAACAGTTTGTGCTTCCGCTGCTGGTTCTGTGGTCCTGCAGGGTGTGTTCGGCTCCGTTCGGCTCCGTTCGGTTCCGTTCGGCTCTTTTCACGCGGCTCCAGCAGCTTCCACCGCCTCGCGCTTCTTTCATCCGGACAAAAGCTGCGCGGCGTCACCTGCCCAGCGGGACGTCCACGTGGTGGTTACCATGGCGACGACGAGCTGTCAGCGCAGTCCGGTTCGGAACGGTCCAACAGACAGAGCTCGTTCAGATCCAGAACGTTCTTTAGGGAGCCGAACATGAAGGAGGAGCGAGTCCAATCGGAACCAGCTGCTGCTGAAAGAACCGACTCCAGCACAGCAACGGTTCTGATCCCGAACTGGTCTGGGGTTCGGTTCTGATCCCGAACTGGTCTGGGTTCGGTTCTGATCCCGAACTGGTCTGGGTTCGGTTCTGATCCCGAACTGGTCTGGGTTCGGTTCTGATCCCGAACTGGTCTGGGTTTGGTTCTGGTCTGAAGCAAAGCCAGCAGCAGGTTCTGTTGGTTTGTTTCTCTGTTCCCCTTGGTGCGGTTCTGGTTCTGATCAGCTTTAATTATTGATTCTGATGGTCAATAATTGATTCATAAATATTTTCTGTTCCCTGCATATTAATTTCATTCCTGTTGGTTTCCTTTGATCATTTCCCATGGAAATATTCCTGCTACTGGGAGCACTGGGAGCACTGGGAGCAATGTTCTAAATGACTGGAAGGATCAGAGGAAGTTTTTTCTCTGATGAAACAAACCGAACAAAAAATGCTTTGACTGTTCCTCTGTAACTCTACCAGATGGTTCTGTTGGGTCTCTGCGGTTCTGTTGGACCCATGCAGGTCTGTCCTGGACAGACTTTGATGTTGGATGTTTCCAGTCTTAAGGGCCAGCAGCTTTTCCCTCTTCAGCCTGGCAGCCTCCAGGCTGGACCTGCGCCCCTCCAGGCTGTTAGTTGATTCGATTTTTATTGTTTGACTTTTTAAAGACTCTGTAGTTTGTATTTAGTCATCGTTAATGTCTTCCAATGACATAATCATAATATTTTCAACTTTCCTGTCAAACATTAACATCTTTAAACTTAAACCTGTTGGCAGAGTGCTCGGTAGCGCCCCCTACCACCATGCTCAGCAGCTTCTCTGGGAGAAACTCTGAGCCACTTTTATGTAAAATATACTTTTTTTCATGTTTCCATCATATTTTAATGTGTTTCCTTGCAGCTTTGATTCTTTCATGTTTCAGAAACTCTTTAGTCCCCATTCAGCTGAGCAAAACGCTGGGTGAACTTAGCCCCGCCTTCGAGGCACAGCTCCTCCCACTCAGCTTATTTTAACTCGCCACTTTAAATTAGAGCTTCAGGGAGACAGAAAACTGGCCTGTTGGGTTTAAAGCATCATGGTGGAGGTCAGGGGTCAGGGGGTATTATCTGGTGTCTGGACGTTCCTGGAATCTTCTAGACCAGGGTGTCAACATCTGGTCCTGGAGGCCCGGCGTCCTGCAACCTTTAGATGAGCCTCTGCTGCACCTGAATAAAATAAAAGGTCATTAAGGCTCTGCAGAACTGATCTACACAAGAAGGAGGTAATTAAGCCATTTCATTCCTGTGTTTGTACCTGTGGCACATCTAAAAACTACAGGACAGCGTCCCCAAGATCTGGAGTTTGACACCCCGGCTCACTGGTCATACTGGAACTCGGTCACCTGCCTGAGGGAACCAGCAACATGCTCAAACCGGAGGATTATCAGGATTTTGTTTCCATCTTGTTGCTGTTTGTTCTTAAGCCGTTGGTCATGTGACGTCTGGTCATGTGGTTG